TGGTTAGGTTAGGTTGGTTAGGTTAGGTTGGTTAGGTTAGGTTTGTTTGGTTTAGGTGAAAAGCTATTCCTGTTCGTAGTACTCTTGATAACATTGATCGTCCCAGCCACCCTCACCCTTAACATCGTCCCTCGTCAGATTCTCGTTGACTCTGTAAATAGAAACCTTTCACAAGCCCAGAGCTAAAACTTTCCTCGATAATAAACTCCAAATTGCCTCCTAAACTAATTACCTCAGATGTCATTAACTGTCACTAGAGTTGTCATTACACATAAGCACATTAAATGGCCTGTCACTCTCTGAATATAATCATTACGTTTCAGTGTTATACGAACTGACGTAGAAATAAACGTAACACAAAATTATAAAAGGTTTTAATTTCAGTTTTAATGCCAGGTTAAAAGTTAGGGTTTGTGATGGGATTTTCTTATACGTGTTACTGTATATTTATTTTAATTGTTATTTTTGTATTCATTTATATTCATTCAATCTTATTTATTTTTTTATTTTTTTTTATCGATGTGTTTATTGAGTCTGTGTTTGTTTTATATATATTTTTTTATTTGTTGCTTATTTTTCATTTATTTGTTGATTTTACGATTATAAAGACAAATACTAGAAATAGAAAGAAAGAGCAGAAAAGAACATCAAAAAGAACAAGAAGAAAAAGAACAGTAAGAAGAACAAGAACAAAAAATAACAAAAATAACAAGAACAAGAAGAACAAGAACAATAAGAAGAACAACAACAAGAACAAAAAAGAACAAGATTAACAAGAAGAACAGAACAAGAACAGTATGAAGAACAACAACAACAAGAACAAAAAAGAACAAAATAACAAGAAGAACAAGAACAAGAAACATAAGAAGACAAGAATATTTTTGTTTTTCCTTTTCACTCTTCCAAAACCTAATGGCGGAGGCAAGCAGATGTTTCCCTAATGGTGCAAGAGAAGGTGGTGGTGTGCCTCTCAAATGGTGCTAGAATAACCAAACCCAAGACCAACACAGACTTACCTCCCCCCCCCCACCCCACCCCATCCCCCTCTCACACCCATCACACCCACCCTCCTCCCCACCCCCACCACCACCACCATTCGCTACATCATTCACATGTTCTCTAACGTTCTATAGTATGTATGTTTCTATGTCTCTTTGATGTATAGTCCAGCATTTTCGCCATCACCCATCACCAACAATAATAACAACAGCGGACTACAACAACAACAACACAACAATAACAATAACAAACAGTAATTAACAACAACAAGCAAATAAGATTTTATGAGAATATATTCCTGGTATATTTTAACGTAAGAAAAAAAAATGAATATCTCGTCGCATTCACAAAAAAAACAAACAATATGGCGTCAATCTGAAGTAGACGAAGAGTAGACAACAAAGACTCCCTCCTCGACCCATAACACGGCACTATGACCCTTATATCACACAGTTCTTTGGGTTATTTTTAGCTTTATGATACAAAAAGGCTTCTGGAAAAGTAGCAGACGATGATAAGTTATAGGAATGTCCCGCTTACTGGAAGATGTTGATGAAAATCTTCCCTCATGGTCTAGTTTGTTCATGTTGTATATGTTAAATAAGCCCCTCCCATTTTGCTTCGTTCGAGTTTGTGATTGGCTGGATTGAGCTGCTTAGGGGAGTATATCAAGGCTATGAGTATATATAGTTGTCAGTTGTTGATCAGGCGGAGTGTAGGAGAAAGGGTGAGAAGGAGAGAGAAGCTCCTTTACTTCCCAGGCTTGTCTAATATTTGGGGGTTTTGTTTTTCTCAAGAACAATCGAAAATATGACATAATTATTAGAGGTACAAAGATGAATAACTATGAGGGAGAGAAGAGGAAAGGAGAGAAGACTAAGAAAATATGGAATGGAAGGTTGAAGATAAAATGGAAAGGAAAAAACGAAGATAAGAGATTGGGAGAGTGGGGAAGAAAAGGAGGTGAGAGTTTATCAGGTATTTTGAGGTCGCTCCAAGATATTTGAGGGTCAATAGTGTCAAGGGAAGGAGGAGGGAGAGACACGGAAGGAGTGAGATAAGGAGGAAGGAAGACAGGGGAGGGAGAGAGACAAGGAAGGTTGAAAGATAAAGAAGGAGAAAGGTAGGGGAGGGAGAGACAAAGAAGGAGAGAGACTGAAGGAGAGAGACTGAAGGAGAGAGACAGGGAGGGGAAGAGACAAGCAAAGAGAGAGACAAAGAGGGAGAGATAAGGACGGAGAAAGACAAGGAAGGAGAGATACAGAGAAGGAGAGATACAAGGAGGGAGAGAAACCGGGAGGGAAAGAGACAAAGAAGGAGAGACACAAGGAAGGAGGGAGACAAGGAAGGAGGGAGACAAGGAAGAGAGAAAGAGAGGGAGAAAGAGAGAGAAGAAAGATGCTCTACCTTCCTCTACAGTGTCACTTTAACATGCATAGCTACAGGCAACTCCTCCCCACCCACCAGCTGCTGTAGGCCATCAACAGGTATACACTTAACACTACACAACTCACCAAGTACTACCACCACAACAGAGAGAGATCATCACACTACGACCAACACACCATAGCTGCTACTGTGATGATCTAATGAACTACTGGTAAAGAAAACATAATATTAGGTTCAAGTGAAGATACAACAGGTCTTACAGGTTCCAGAAATTTGACACGAAGCTATTCTAAGGAGTAATGGGAGGTCTTTGATCACCAAGACACATTACGAGAGGCCGCAGTAGGAAGAAAAATGAAGACAGGCAGGTTAAATTTAGTCAGACTTAATCCCAACCTCCCAATTCCGGCGACCTCCACAGGGGTGTTCACAAAGCCCTCAGTCCATTCCTGGCTACATTTCACCAACAGGGTTAACTCAGGCGACTCATTCACCCCCCCCCCCCTAACACACACACTATACTGGCGCCTCAGTTATAACACAGGAGGCGCTGCAACCCCGTAATAATGTCAAACACAACAAGACAGACCGAAAGTTTCACTGCTGTCTCTGCTAATATTAAGAAGTTTCTAACAAATCTTGAGGACCTCACACATGGCTACTTTGTGATAAAAAATGCTGATGTTAGTTGTAACCTTTCTTCATAACACTGACCCGGCTAACTTTGGAAGGATCAACAGATACTTTAAGTAGCACAGAAAATACAGACAATGTGGCAGATGTGATGCTGCTGTTTTCATTCAGAATAATGTCGAGAACTCTGACTTTAGAGATACGATCTATCCTAGTCACTTGGAATTGATAATATGCTTCAGTTATGGAGTTAGGTTTGTGTCCTGTGTCTATTGTGTGTATGTTATCGCCCCCAGTTGCGAGGCATTACGTGAACATGTTAATGAGGTACTGTAACAACACACCTGGCCGTACACCTGCTTAACGTCGTCCCTTTGTCTAAGCCGGACCCTTAGACCACCAAGAGATGATGACCAACATTAACCGTGGCACTGAGAAAAAAAATAGTATTATCCCTCATTTGGCCCTGGCACCTGAGGACCGACGACTCTCAAGAGAATGTGACCTGGGGTGTAGGTCTAACATGTTTACACCCCCTGACACTGGAACACCCACATGCACTTGTTCCCAAAACACTGTGCAATAATACACCAGGTGACCATCCCTAGAGCAGGTATCGGTATACAGGTGCTACTGATGAGAACAACTTAGAGTCACTATTAAAAACCAACTCAGAGAGTGTGTGTTTGAAGAGTCGAGAAACAACACGAAACAAGTTCAAAAGTGAGCAATTGTTTGAGATGACAAGAATACTTAAAAAATAAACTATCGAGAGAGTTGGTGGGGCAGTAAAGCCAGGGATCACATACAATAATAAGAGTAACAAGAACCACCATCTGACGACTCTAACCACCAGCCAGTACAGGTGAGTGAGAGTCTCTGTGTCTGTCCACCCACCAGTGTAAGGGAGAAGGTCGAGCTATTTGGGTCTTATTTTGCAAGTCAGATGTAAGTGGTGGAGCCGGACTGCGTGTCGCTCTCCTTCAGTGCTTCCTCCTAGTCTTACCTGTGCCCACCTGTGTAGCCTACCTGTGAGCAGCTACATCATGACTTTAACCTAATAACACACCTCCTCCTCCTCCCACCCACTCACTAACCCACCTACCCACCTACACCTTCACAGAATTACACCTCACACATTCACCCACCCACCCACCCACCCACCCACCCACCCATCCGTCGACCCACCCGCCTTCACAGTCACCCATCCAGCTCCTCATCATCACCTTGGCAGAGCTCCATCACAGGTCCTTGTTAACAGACGTAACCCGGGAGACAATTTAATGCACTGTGCTTGTCAATGGTATTAGCAGCGCGTCATGACACCAAGCACAGGTAGACGTATGCTTGACGTAATAGACATTGCTTGCTGAGGAGAGGAGAGAGGGGAGAGAAGGAGAGAGGAGGAAGGGGGGAGGATAAAGGAGGAAGGAGGAATGGAGAGAAGGAAGGAGGAGGATAGAGGAGGAAGGAGGAATGGAGAGAAGGAAGGAGGAGGATAGAGGAGGAAGGAGGAATGGAGAGAAGGAAGGGGGAGGCGAGAGCAGGGGAGAGGATGATCGAGGAGGAAAGAGGAGGGGAGAGAAGGAAGGAGGAAGGGAGAGGAGGAGAGAGGAGAGGTTAATATGGTTGGTTGTCGGGTGTTTGGGGAGAGGAGTATTGGTGGTGGAGAGGATATTGGTGGAGGGGTGGTGATGGTTTTGGTGGTGGTGGTGGTGGTGGTGGTGGGGGGGAGGTGATGATGGTGGTGGTGATAGTGATAGTTGTGATGATAATGGTGATGAAGTGATGGTGGTGGTGAAAGTGCTAGTTGTCTTGTTGTAGTTGTTGTTGATGGTAGTGTGGTGATTTTGATGTTAATTCTTTCCTTTTTTTCCTTCCTTCCTTCCTTCCTTCCTTCCTTCCTTCCTTCCTTCATTCATTCCTTCTTCTTCCTCCATAAGATACAAATTTTATCATCATTTTTGTCTCTCCCTCAGGTCTGCCGTTGAAGGATCGACTCATACGACAACAGAAGCTGAGGGTAAGTGTCTTTCTCCTTGTCATGTTCTCTGTCATGTTCACTGTCATGTTCACTGCCATTTTCTCTGTCATGTTCACTGTCATATCCACTGCCTTGTTCACTGTCATGTTCACTGCCATGTTCACTGTCATGTTCACTGTCATGTTCACTCTCATATCCACTGCCTTGTTCACTGTAATATCCACTGTCATGTTCATTGTCATATCCACTGCCTTGTTCACTGTCATATCCACTGCCTTGTTCACTGTAATATCCACTGTCATGTTCATTGTCATATCCACTGCCTTGTTCACTGTCATGTTCACTGTCATGTTCACTGTCACTGTTATGTTCACTGGAATGAAAGAATGATTAAGAGGAAATCGTTTTCTCTATTCCCATCCTTCTTCCTTCCTGTGTGTTTTTAATCTTCCTTCATAGTCTTCTTCCTCCTTCTTCTCCTCTTCCTTCATTTCCTGCTCCCTCTCCTACTCATTTCCCCCCTCTTCCTTTTTTTCCTAATTTTTGCTTCTAAGTTTCCTTCCTCTCCTGCCTCCTCCATCCGTCATCTCTCTCTCTCTCTCTCTCTCTCTTGCTCTCTCTCGCTCTCTCTCTCAAACATTCTCCCAGTCATCCATTGATATCTTCCTTATTGGCCATTAAACCCCTCCCCCCTTCCTTCCTGTCTTTCCTCTCTCCCTTTCCTTCTTTCTTTATCAGTCTGACCCATTCTATCTCCACTTTCTCCTTTATTCCTACTCTCTCCCTTCCCTTCTCATAATTTCCCTCCTCCTCTTCCCTTTACCTTCCTCCTTCCCCCCCACCCTCCTCCTTTCCTTTCCCCCCCTCAAAACTCTTCATTTTCTCTCTGCTCCTTCTACCCTTCCCTTCATCCCTTCCACCTCGTTCTCCCCTTTTCTGCCCTTCCTCCCCCTCTCTCTCTTTTCCTTCCCCCTTCTCTGTCCCTCATCCTCCATTCTCCTCCTTCCTCGCCCTTCTCCTTCCCTCGTCCCTTTCCTTACCTTTCTTTCCCTCTCCTACCTCTCTTTCTCCCACTTCCTCCCCCCCCCTCCTTCTTCCTCCTCCCCCTTTCATCTCCCTATTGTAAACTGACTGACCCTCCCTCGTCGTTGGCCAACATTCTACAGCAGAATTAATCATTTTCTCCTTCTGCCCCCTCTCTCTCCTCCCCTTCCTCTCTCCCTCTTTACCTCTCCCTTCGTCCCGCCACCTCTCTCTCTCTCTCTCTCTCCTCAATCACTTTGGATTGGATCAGATAACTGGACCAGGTCTCCGCATGTCACTATAAACCCCTTCATTTGGATGTGATTGGATGATTAGGATGGAGAACCAATCCCATTCCTTGGATCAGTTCAGGATGTACCCATGGTTATTTTTTTTTTACTCAGCATAATAAGACCCATTACCCATGATTTAACCCATAAAGGCCAGACAGGGGCATATTGGAGCCCATAGATGCAATAATGTTTTCGAAATTTCTGAGGTAAGGTCAGGTAGGTCAGGTAAGGTCAGGTAAGGACAGGTAATTCCAGCCAGTCTCTACATTCCAGTCTAAGCCCGTAACATTAGTCTGGACAGAGGAAGAGGAATGTAGCCATGAACGTTATTAATGATGATGGTATGAGATAGAAGGACAGACTACCTACTTGAATGAGAGCCTCGTGATAGGGGTTTAGGGAAGCGTTATTACGTACCTTGAATTATTGGAATTAAGGTAAGGTGTTGTGGTTGAGGTGAGGTGTTGTGGTTAAGGTGAGGTGTTGTGGTTAAGGTGAAGTGTTGTGGTTGAGGTGAGGTATTGTGGTTAAGGTGAAGTGTTGTGGTTAAGGTGAAGTGTTAAGGTGAAGTGTTGTGGTTAAGGTGAAGTGTTGTGGTTAAGGTGAAGTGTTGTGGTTGAGGTGAGGTGTTATGGTTAAGTTGAAGTATTGTAGTTAGATGAGGTGTTGTGGTTTAGGCAAGTGTTTTTACCTTGAGTTGTCTTAAGCTTTCTCCTGACACTTTCTTCACTTGTCTTAGCTTTCTCCTGACACTTTCTTCACCTTTATTGCTTTCGTCTCGTTTTCATCTTGCTTTCTCTCTTTGGAGTTTGATAACTCTTCGCTCCTTCACGACACGAAAAGGGGAGAAGAGGAAAGATCATTTATACTAATTGGTTAATCTGGGAAGCTTGACTGCCAATATCGATGTCCGTTTGGCTCCTCTCTCTCTCTCTCTCTCTCTCTCTCTCTCTCTCTCTCTGTCTCTCTCAACGAATAAAAATAATAATTAATGTTTTTCAATTAACAATGAAGTCACAGAGAAATTTTGATGACCCTGATTACAATAGGTCATAAGTTAATGAGGAATTGAGTTTAATTTCAGCAGGTATAATACTTTTCATGAGTCCCCCCCCCTTCAGTTATTACCGTTCCGTTTTCTACAGGGGAGACTTATGAAAAATTTGAATAAATAAAATTTTGAATATTTAATGTATGTTTATTTAATTTGTTCAATACATGTTTAACAAAAGTCTGTGAGAATAAAATGCCCATTAATTATTAATTAAAACGAATCTCATTACTAAATTATACGGAGTGTTTTATATAATACAAATATGATCAGTTTACAGACCTATAATCCGATTTTCTGGAGACTAATTATATATAATACTTAAATAAGCAGGATATATAATGTTAGACTATAATCGTAATGTATATAATTATACACGTGAATGAATACCTGTTGGGGAGAGGTGAGATTAGCCTTACCTGGTAGCTGTGTCGGTGTTGATGGGACAGATTATTATTATTATTATTATTATTATTATTATTATTATTATTATTATTATTATTATTATTATTATTATTATTATTATTATTATTATTATTATTATTATTATTATTATTATTATTATTATTATTATTAATATTATTATTATTATTATTATTATTATTATTATTATTATTATTATTATTATTATTAGAGGATAGAAACTTTGTGAACTGGGAAATATTTGTTGTTGCCATTTAACATAGATTGTGATGGAGGAAAAACCGCCTTGAATTCACATAAGGGTGTCTTGTGTTGGTGAATACAGGGCGTTAATGAGCTAGTACATTTTTTTTCTGGTACACACGTATACACATCAAAGTGTATACCCATAAACAATTAATTATACCAACGCTTATGCCGAAATCAAACGCAAATACATACTAACGCACACACACACACACACACACACTACCTTACCAGCATACCTACCACAGAAACACCCTCACAAATTATGTATGTATGTATGTATATAACGGTAAAATAAAGTTACTCACATTCACGTCTGTGTGTAAGATGTTCGTAGGTAGTCTGAAGCTCCTCCTTATACGGACATACAGACATACGAACACTGCTGGGTAGGATTATCCCTCCCGGCAGAGTAGACTATTGGGTGAGCACGATTACCTACCAAGAAGACGTGACCAAAAGGCTTTCTATAGTAAATGGAATGGATTTTTTTTTATATATGTGTAAAACTTCTAAAAAAAAACATTGAAATAAATATGTTTGCTGTAAAAATAAATGTATGTTATATAAAATATTCTTCATTTTATACATTGGAATATATTTTTTAATCTTTATCTTAAAATAATATATATAGTTGAATTAGGTAAATTAGCTTATATCCACGAAACTAATTATATTGAGGTATAATTAATTCCTGAGGCCGCTGTGTTGTGAAATGATAATACCTGATTGAATATTTAGGTTTATTTATAAAGTCTATTTCGAAATTATCACGTAGAGTAAATTTATTATATATTTTTTGTTAATTTTAAACTTTTTTTTTGTTCTGCTTGAGAAGTTACGGCATTAAGAAAAAATGTATATTTAATTTTGTTTTATAAGAAGAAATATCAAATAAAATATCAACTTCTACCTTAATATAATTTTCAGTGACGTGTTTTTCTTGTTTATCCTGAATAGATAAAAAGTATATATATATATTTATCATCATTCGAACTTTGTATATTTTGTGAGTTTAAACAGGATTTGCATAAATACATTTAATTTATATTTTCCTTCATCTTATATCCTTCTATTGTGCTGCGTAGGTGCTGATAGGATGGGAGGAGGGGGTGAAATTATGGGTATTTCCATTTTGGTGCGTATAGGAGAGGGAGGGGGTGGTGGGGTCTGATCTCTTGTGGTTTTCCCAATTTGGTGTATAGTAGAGGGAGGGAAAGGGGGAGGGGGGTGTTGGGGGTCTGAAAAATAGAAATAACATGAGGACAGAGGATCAATATTTTCGTGTCAGAATGATGAGAGTGACCCCCGTACAGTGCTGCCATCAGGGGTGAGAGGCGAATCCCTTTAAGCTTTTGGATTGGTTCGTTATGAATGTTCGCTGGTGCAGGTGTGTTCGTGACAAGTGTTTCCTGCACCTGTTCATTTCAATTTTCCACCTGTGTCTCCATTTTTTTGTTTGCATTTCTTTCCTGTTCTTGTTTACAGTTCGCTTTTTGTTTATAACTTTATAGTTTTGAAGCTGTATATTTTTTTGTTTGGTTTTAACAGTTGTTCTCTTTTGTGCACCTGTTCAGCTTTTTGTTTGCACATGTTCACTTTGTTTACACCTATCATTAATTCATTCACTTATTCCGTATAGAGAGGGTAAATAGCCCAACCAAAATATCAAGTACACACACACACACACACACACACACACACACACACACACACACACACACACACACACGTACGTCTGACAGAATTAGCTCGGCCACGTTAGGTCAATAAACAACTTGGCAGAAGAGGAATTACCTGTTGAAGACGGCCGTAAATTGTGAAGTATTTCTCAAAGGTAATTTTAGAAAGGTATTCCTCAGTACAAACTTTTGAGGATGATGTGGGTTATGCCTCTGTCTGTCTGTCTGTCTGTCTGTCTGTCTGTCTGTCTGTTTAACTGTCTCTGCTTGTCTATGTATGTCTGTTTACCTCCTTCTCAATCTTTCTGTCTGTTTGTCCAC